GTGCTGAAACAGAGTAAATAAAACTGTTTGTGAGTCAAGAAATATTAGCAGAAAAACAGTGCAAATTCTCTTTACAAATCATGTTGGGCTTCCCCTTACTAAAATTCCTAATGAATGACAATCTTAATGTGTACTATATTTGAAGATAGCATTGCACAGGAAATTTCTAAATAGACTGATAATTTTTTTTATTCTTTTGAAATTAATTCAACAAATACAATAAACAGTTATACAATTAACAAGAGTAAACATAAGTTCAAATAGTCTCAAGCTTTATTAAAAGAAACACTTATTAACTCTTGATAAGAGATTAAAATGTTGAAATGTTTAATAATGATTGGTTTTAAAATTTAATAATATGATGGGAGGTTTAGAATATTGAGTTTTAATTAAAGAGTTTAATAAGATTATGGTATTGATGTTATTATAAAATTTCTACTATAGTATTTGTTTTTAATATTTAGATTTATTGTTTAACTATAAATTTAATTACTTTGGATGTACTATTTAGATAGAATGTACCAAGCAAAATCGGATTGGGTATTGGGCGTTATCTTAAAGGTTAATTTGATTAATTTAGGGGGGAGATAGAAAGGCATCATACTCTGATTAGTGATTTCAGGAGAAACTTCTTTTTTTTTTTAATAAGGAACGAGACAAAGGGACAATAAAGAATGGACAAAAGATACAAATATAATGACTCAAATTAAGATGATTAATTAAGATAGAATTAAGAAGAGTGAAATATGTGGAGAAGTTAATATAGAAAGCTTAGAATGGTAAATAAAATAAGTAATGATATGTAAGATGAGCATGAATATAATTGAAGTCCATGAAGAGAGAGATACCTGGGTCCAAGTTACTTTCCAAAAAGATTTTCTTTTATGTTTTATGTGTTGTGTGTATATGTTTTTTTTTTTTTTTTGGGAGAATTAATAAAACCTTGCAGAAATATAGAATGAGAATAATGGTAACTAAGTCAGAAAGAAATAGATGAAATAATAATAATGAAATTGAATAAGAGTAAAGAGAAGTAAAGAGAAATTGGACAAGAGGTTTTTTGTATGTTTATATGAAAATGGTTTAAAACAGAATTATAGTTTATCTGACTTGTTAAATTTATAATGGAAAAAGGTTTAAACATGTAATGGATAATGATTTGTGTGTTTTGAAAACTAATAAAACTTGTTTTTTTTTTTAAAAAAAAGAAACACTTATTTTTTAAGTCAACAACAAACAGGTTGTGTTTATTTTGAGAATTATTAGGAAGATATATTTTGGAATGCACAGGAGTCCATGCACAAGGACCTTTTTAAAGAAGCATCATCTTTCTTATAAGCTTGAGAAAGTCACAGCTGCTTTAATAGGTGTATGAAAATTCACTGTACTGGTACTTCTGTACTTCCCAAAGCAATTGTTCCAAATCATTTTCAAAACATGAACATTGGAAGGCAATATGATGTCCTCTGTACATTTTGGACTATAACTCTGACAAGGCATGGTTAGCAGTGTCAATAGACAACTATTTTGAAGGTGGTATTACAAAACTAACCACACAAATCTTTGCTAACATTTTGAGAATATTCTGTTATAGAAGAAAAGGGTCTACTTCCAAGATATTGCACTATCCCCCACACGGTGTGTTATGGGTTTTGCTTTGTTTTTTTTATTTAAACAACATTAAGTTTTTCTTCTTAATTTTCTAGATACAGAATTAATTAGCCTAAGTGAATTCAGAAACAGCACATGATTCTACAATATTATTGAAGCCAAACATGTCTAGGAAATATTTGAATGGAAGAACATTAAGGAATCTTATGCCTTAAACTCAAAGCAAAGATATAAAAATGAAATAACACACACATACACACAACAGAAAAATAAATAATATTTGTTTCGAATGTAAATATAAATTATAGCAGCTACAGATGTGAAGACCTGTAAAAAAATACAGGAAAAAGATGAAAAACTGAAATGCAAATTTTGGAGGAAAATTTTTATTATTCAATCTTTTCTGTTTTAGAATGACTAAATACTTACAAATTGTTCAATATGCACAGGATGAACATTTGTACATACAAAGCAATTTGTAGTGTTTGTGAATAATTTCACCTAAATAGAGATTATCAATGTTTTCTATGGCATATAAAGTATAATTTGAAGCACTTATGTACTTTTTTCTTTAATACTAGCACTATATAAAGTGATTCCTATCTAGAATATTTATCTTTATTATGAATTTGGTGTTTTCAGGCATGATATTCCGCTCTGAAAAAAAAAAATCGGGGCCGGCCAAAAGAGACCCCCCGCCGCGCGCCCGGGGAGCGCCCGCTGCTTTCCCTCGCCAGGGCCGGGCGGTGGCGTGTTGCACGGAGGCTGGTCTGTGGCTGGCCTAGCTCCCTTTTCCTGCCCCCCAGCGGCCTCCGCTCGCACCGCCCGGGCTCCGCTCAGGTATCCGGCTGGGGCTGTCAGGAGTTGCTACCGCCGGCGCAGCTCCACGCGGCTCCAGTCCCGCGTTGCCTCGGGAAGGGAAAGGCAAAACCAGGAGCCGCTGCGGCCGTTGCAAAGCGCCGCCGCGGCTCTTCCTTTTTGCCTTTCCCTTCCTGAGGCAACGCGGGACTGGAGCCACGCGGAGCCGCGCCAGCAACTCCTGACTCGGGGCCTCCGAGGGGAGGGGAAGGAGAAGAAGGGGGGGAGAAGGGGGGGGATTCCCCAAAAAATCAGAATTCCGATTTTAATCGGAAGAATATCATGCCTGTGTTTTATTAAGGAACCTTCTATTCTTGCCAAGCTTAAAAACTGAATTAAATGATGTACAGAAAAAAGCGTTTTTTTTAATAAAAATCTATAAATGTTTTTCCATTGGATTTAGCCACTAATTATGAAATTAAAACAAAGTGATCACATAAATTGCATTATATTAAAAAATCCAGACAACAGATTGGATATCACCCCTATAGTACAGCTTGAAGGGCTGACACTGAGAAATTCTGAACAGCTTAAGGCAAACAATTCAAACTTGGATTGCTTTTCTGGATTAATATTCCTTGACTCATAATCAGTTCATTAAATATTTTTTTGGTTTCTTGTAAGTTCTTTTACCAATCCAACAATTATATAAAATCATAATTATTTATGAATCTAGGGTTATTCAATCCTATAAATGTATATTTGAATGTAAAAATCACAGGTTGAATCTCATTAAATGCAATTTTAGGCATGTTTAGCCAAAAGTAAAATCTATTAAATCTAATAGTGCTTATTCCATATAGGCCCAACCTAAATGCAGGCAAAAATAGAATTATAGTGCAATCCTATAGCTGCCTATTCAAAAGAAAATGTGAATTGAGTAAAATTTAATTAAGTTTCTTTAGATTACAACTCTACAATATTCTACATATGTAAATTGTGGTAAGCTTATTTACATTATTTTAGGACAATTAATATTAACCACAAATGATAGCTATAGAAGCTCTCTGTACACTTGAAAGCACCTAAAATATACAGAAAGTGTTTTGTTTTCAAAGCAAATGGCTTTACATAAAAATTAAATGTTTATAATACTTTATTTCTAACTAATGTGTGTTTTATGTTTGTGATCTAATCCAATTAATATTCTCTGAAGCAATTTTCATGGCGGCTTTCAATGTGACTTACTCTGAAGTAGATATGTTAATTATCACCACTGTAGCTTTTTTATGTGCTTGCTCAAAAGTAGGTCCACCAGTTTCAATACAGCATAACCAGTAATTCAATATTATGTCTGTATTTGTATGACACACCCACAGATACGTGAACCATGGTTTACTAAAGTTTTCTCAATTCAACATAAACTGAACTATGAATTAATGACAGGATCTGGGTTCATATAACAAACCAACTAATCACAGAAGCTGGTCAAGACCAAGCTAAAAGTCTTGTGATTCCACATATCATCTAAACAGCCTACATATAATTTCATGATTGTAGAACTCTCCTTGCAAACTGATCTTTAAAAAATGGTAGGACTACTAATGTAAGAGTTTGAACGTTGTCCGAGTTCCTCCTAAAACAAATGTGGGTTATTTTCTCCTTTTACCACTCTCCCAAAAAGTTAATTTTTTTTTCAAAGTATCAAATCCATTTTCTTAATAAAGTAGTATAATATTTGCACAAATTGAAAGCCAAGTAAACAGTACTGTTATGTTCAGGAAATAGAATGGTCCTCCAACTCCTTAGCAACCCCTGTTTTCTATTGATCTCCACACCCTCCTCCCCCCAATTAACCAAAATAAATGAAATAGCCTTTCTGGTTATTAATTCAGCAGTTTCTATTGGTAGAAATTAAGTCATCCCCACCCCTTTAGCAGGCTATTCCGCGTATATAGCACAACTCCTAAAGGTACCCTTTGCTGAGGAGTTGTTGTGCATGTGCTGGTTTCCCAGGCTAACGGAAGGAGGTGCAGCCTTTTTATTATTATTAGGCCTCTTCCATCATCCGAAGTGTTGCCGTCTCCGTCTTCCAAACCCAACCTAATGTAAGCAAAAGCTATATATATATATACACATACACATACATATTAGGATCTTAAAAGGGTGGCTGCAAGCAGACCCAAACCTCCATCTGCAGTTATTCATAATATACGTTCTAATGCATTAACGTAAGCTAGTTATCTGCGGGGAGGGGGTGTTGGGAAAAATGTGTGTCCCCCCACGGTAGGGGGGAGGTCTATTTCAAAGGGGCAGAAAATGTGGTTGAGAAGAAATGGGGGGAGGGGCAGGAGCTGGGCTAAGCGGGTGGTTAAAAACCCCAGAAAAACAAACAGCTTGTTTGGTTTCCCCGCTCCTCATTTCCAGCCCTAATAGGGACTCTCCAGTGGAAGTAGGAAGACGACCACCCCCCCCCCCCCCCACCCCCCCCCCCCCCCCCACCCTCCCCCCCGTCCCCGGCCGCCGGGGCCCCTTTTTTTTTCCCCCTCCCTCCCCCGCATCCCTTCCTCAAAGAGTCCCACAAGACAGACCTCGCTGTTAAAAGCTTTCACGGCCTCCATGTTGTGCGGCGGAGGGAAAAAGGCTTTAGAACCGCGCCGAAAGGGAGGTTGTTCTCCGCTGGGGTGACGGCGGTCGGCTTCTTTCATGGGCCACCGGGCCTCGTCGCCATGTCGGGGTTGCGGGCGGGCTAAGGGGGGGGAGGGGACGGCGGACGGGTCGGGGAAAGGGGGGGGCTCCTCCCTACTCCGCTGGGCCGCCCCAGGGTAGGCTCGGCGGGCGCTGCAGGGACAAACACGCAATAGCTGCGGCGCGGGCACCAATATGGCGGGCGGGAGGGCTCTAGGCTAGAAGCGGCGTACTTCCCTCCGAGAGCAGCCGAGACGCGCGGGCCAGAGCGGCTCCTAAGCGGGCGAACGCGAGCCGTGGAGAGGCGCGGCGGCCACCAGCGAGGTAGAGGGCAGAGTGTCTTTTTAGGGTGGTTTCTCCTGCTACCCTAGAGAGGGCTCGGCCAGAGAACAGAACTCCCCTCGCAGGAGAAGGGGCGGTACTGCAAGCGGGGTGAGGGAGCAGCACCGAGAGGTCGCCTCCCCCTCCGATCGGGAGAGACGGGCAAAAGTGAACGGAGTCCGATGCTTTATTTTAGCGGTTGAGCCTATTCGAAAACAAACAGTTTGTGGATACGCCGTTTGTGGATACGGATTGAAAAGTTGTATGCCTAGGGAAAAAACGCCTTTCTTGCTGAAATATTTTAAACGGGGCTTCGAAAAGTGATGCTTGCCCTTGCTTGAGTTCGGTAGGGTTTATTTCCAGGAAGTACTGGATTAGCATGGATTATGTATCATCCACTCCTTTGACAAAATGTTTTACTTATTTTTGCTTAATCCGTCAAAAACCCAAAGACCGTAAATTTGTCCTCATCCTCTGCCACATTTCCTTCTGCGAACTTGAGATTCCGTATCTAGTGTAGCCTTAATTTGGGGAAGGGTTTTTAATACAATCCTAAAATTAAATAAAACTAAACAAAACACAACAATCAGTTAATTTACTTTTTTTTTTAAATAAAAAAATCTGAAGCTGACCCAGCAGCCCTGGACCCTTCTGGGTTATTCAGGTGCTCACCGGGATGGATTCTACTCAACTTGACACCTGCTAAACTCTAGCTAAGTCAGTTCTACATGTGTACCCAATAAATTGTTCATCGGAAACTTTAAGCCATTATAGTTGATAATGGTATTTAAGCCAAAAGCATAGGATGCGACTAAAGCATAGAAATGAGGAACTTGTGGCCTTCCTACTGCAGTTAACATTTAGTTTTAAATCTTCTCAACTGCCCATAGACATTAAGACTAAAAAATTCAGCCAATCAACATCTCAGTAATCACCTGCTTGTTCCACTTGAAAATGAATCAGATGCACTTCAAGCTATTTTACTGCTATTAAGAACAAGTCATTTGATACTACTAGTAACATAAGATCCAGTTATCAGCCCAACAGAGTAAAGAGTCCTATGTTACATCTGCCTGGACCAGCAAATTATCTTTGGGCAGTCAAGATAGTATACAGGTAGTCCTTGACTTACAACATTTCCCTTCGTGACTGTTTGAAGTTAAAATGGCACTGAAAAAAGTGACATGATGATTTTTCACACTTACCTCCATTGCAGCATTTTAGGTCACATGATTTACATTCAGATGCTTGACTCTTGACTCACATTTATGACAGCTGCAGTGTTCTGGGGTCATGTGATCCCCTTTTGCGACCTTCTGACAAGCAAAGTCAATGGAGAAAAACAGATTCCCATAACAATAGGTTACTATTTTAGCATCTGCAGTGATTCACTTAACAAATGTGGCATGGGCAAAGCTCGCTTAACAAATGTCTCACTTAGCAACATGAATTGTGAGCTCCATTGTGGTCATAAATTGAGGACTACCTGTACTGTGTCATAATAGCTAAATAGCGTAACAATTAGACCTGAGCTAAGAAGTAGATTCCAGTTAACAGAGTTGTTCTTTCGGATCATCCAGTTGACATGCTTTACTATCATATGAATAATTTTCCTACTCTCATTTCCTACTTGAATTAAGAGCTCAGCAGGATTGTAAACGTGTATTAGAGAATACAGTCTGTTGCATACATCTGTCTTTTTTTCCTAAATAAAGATTACACTGTCAATTTTACAGGCAAATCTCTTTCACTCAACCCTGTCTGCAGCAGGGGAATAGTGTAAGACATATTTTATGATTGTTGAATAGATTACTGACAACGTATGGAAAAAATCCTTAACATTTATTTACTGTTTGTTTGCTGAATGGTGCAGTGGCCTAGAGGTGAAGGCATTCATTCACCTCATACTTGGGAGGTTGTGAGTTCAATCCCAGGCAGCAATAGATTCTTCTCTATCAGAGCATAAAGAGTAAATAACTTCTGCAAACTCTGTGTAGGCAATTCGGCTAGCTCCATTCAGTCATCCTGACTCCAACCCGATAAAAGGGTCATAAAAAGAAAAAAATACTGTTTATTTGCTAGATTTATATCCTGTTTTTCTTATACAACACTGCTTCTAATTCTCCCCTCCCCCTCCCAGCACACACACAATTTTGTAGGCTGGGCTAAGTGGGTGGTTCTTGTAGCTTACATCTTCCTGAATCTGAACTTGGATTCAGCAGTTCTAGTTTACCATCTTAATCATTAATATTATAATGGGTATGTATCATACTGATATAAAATACAATATTTTATTTTATTTTAGATATAGACAATACTATTAGCGACACTGATGAAGATAATACAGAATATTTTAAATGGTTTATCTGGGGAACAACAGCACCATCTAGTGAATATCTCTGTGGACAGCATTAAAATGTTCATTATATTGAATCTCTCGTAAACATTTGATTACTTTAAAATACTGTAGTTTGATGCCTTTCACGTTTCAGTATAGTCTACTGGAACTAAAGGTTTTCAGAAGCTGCAATAAAAGAATGAATATACAATTATTATTTTTTAATTACCACTTCTTTGTTAAGGAGAAACTATGAAAACTGTTGATTTTATCTAGATAAAAACTGGGAGGTAAGCAAGGGCATTACCATTCCATAATTCAGAACAAGAATGACAAGGGGAAATAAGAGATTTATTTAGTAGCTCTGAAAAAGAGTGGTGCAAGATACATCCATTAAAATATTTCCTTTTGTTATAGAAGCAGAAATTCTAAAATATGTAAAGAATCAGTGAGGAATCCATTTTTATGGAAATATCAGAATGTGTTATGTGATCATATCTACACTGAAATTTTGAAGGAGAACAGATACAGTATTCAAGTTTAGTCATTTGAAAGTGCACAGAAGACCATGGATCGTAAAATGGTATTACAGATTGTAAACTATTTACCAATGACTGCATCTCAAATGATCCATCTGTTAAAATACTGAAGTTTGCAGATGATACAACAGTGATTGGTCTCATTTGAGACAATGATGAATCTGCATACAGACAGGAGGTTGTACAACTTGCCTTGTGGTGTAATCGGAACAATCTGGAACTGAACACACTCAAAACCATAGAAACGGTGGTAGACTTTAGAAGAAACCCTCCCATACTACCACCTCTTACAATACTAGACAACATAGTATCAACAATAGAGACCGTCAGATTTCTAGGTTCTATTATATCACATGACCTAAAATGGACACCTAACATCAAAAACATCATCAAAAAAGCACTACAAAGAATGTTCTTTCTGCGCCAACTCAGAAAGCTGAAACTGCCCAAGGAGCTGCTGACACAGTTCTACAGAGGAATTATTGAGTCTGTCATCTGCACCTCTATAACTGTCTGGTTTGGTTCTGCAACCCAACAAGACAGACACAGACTTCAGAGGGTAATTAGGACTGCAGAAAAAACAATTACTACCAACTTCCTTTCCATCGAGGACCTCTATACTGCATGAGTTAAAAAGAGGGCTGTGAAAATATTTACAGGCCCCTCACATTCCGGACATAAACTGTTTCAACTCCTTCCCTCAAAATGATGGTACACCAGAACAACTAGACACAAGAACAGTTTTTTCCGAAAAGCCATCACTCTGCTAAACAAATAATTCCCTCAACACTGTCCAACTATTTACAAAGTCTGCACTACTGTTACTATTCACCTTCTCGTCACTCCTTATCACCCCTCCCCTCCCACTTGTGACTGTATGACTGTAACTTTGTTGTTTGTATCCTTATGATTTATATTGACCGTTTCCTAGTATGATTTGATTGCTTATTGTACCCTATGACTATCATTAAATGTTGTACCTTATGATTCTTGACTCTTGATGAATGTATCTTTTCTTTTATGTATACTGAGAGCATTTGCACCAAGACAAATTCCTTGTGTGCCCAATCACACTTGTCCAATAAAGAATCCAATTATTATTATTATTATTATTATTATTATTATTATTATTATTATTATTATTATTATTATTATTATTTTGATTGGAACAGTATATAAACCTTAGTAAATAAATAAACAAAAGTCTGCTGCCATTTCATTTCAAGCAGTGACGGGAAGGAAACAATTTTTCTAGCAGTCTGTAGAGATTCTCAGTCACTCAAGTCATGGTTGTCCCAAAGGTGCTTTTTCAGGAGGCAACTGGACTTTCTTGTTTTTATTTTCTTTTGAAAACGTTTCACTTCTCATCCAAGAAGCTTCTTCCGCTGTGACAGGATAGTGGGGAAGAAGCTACTTGGATAAGAAACAAAACGTCTTCAAAAGAAAAACAAGAAAGTTCAGTTGCCTCCTGGGACAACCATGACCTGGATGACTGAGAATCTCTACAGAATTTCAGTTATACAATTTGGGATGAACAACCTTTGAATGGTGTGGCAGTAGGAATGGATTGCAGACTACAGAAACCAGGAGCACTACTTAGGTGACTCCAAGGACACATAAACCTCCCAAGTGCTTCAACAACCCTCTAAAACATGGGTGCCAAACTTGTGTCATCACGGTGGTGTCACATGATGTATCATGACTTTTTTCCCCTTCATTAAACTGGACATGGGTGTGGCCAGCGCATGATGCTGGGTTTGACAGCCCTGCTCTAAAAGAATGCAAATGACCAGCTGTCTGCAAGAAATATAAATCCTTCCATTCCCCACTATCCTGTCAGAACTGAAGAAGTTTCTTGGATGCAAAGCGAAACATCTTTGAAAGAAAAAACAAGTCCAGTTGCCTCCTGAAAAAGCACCTTTGGGACAATTTTTCTGGCATTTTCAATTAAAGTTATTGCTCTGAGGAGTACAAGAGCATTTAATTTGTCTGGGATATTTTA